ACTGGAATTTTCTGATTTCATGATTGTTGCTTGACACGTGTTTCGTTGAACTTTAGTACACGCGTTGATCTCCTAACGATTATCGCTTCCCAATCGCCTAATTCGTTTAAGCCACTTAAATCTTGTCGGTTGCTGAAAAAGATCTTTAAAATATTTATTTACTTTTGACTCGTACATCTTCCGAAGTAATGCGGGCAAGTTTTTCCTTTGACCTTTACTAGGTCATCCGTCATTCACAATGTAGCAAAATAAATGCCTTAGACATCCGAGAGGCATTGTAAATAACGTTTGTTATCGTTGTGCGTGAGGTTGAAGAACCTGACTTTACTAGAACAATGATGCCCGGTGTATCATGGCAGCGCCCTTCAGCTAAAATTGGGTGGCAAGAGCATTAAGGCGCGTATAGCTGCGTCATCAGTAGAAATATAGTCGACGGATTTCTTAGATCCGATTTGCCTAGCTGGCTACTGTCATTGCATATCAAAAGCATATCATATATGTCTGAGGGACAGTCATGTGAACCTGTTCATTTCGTTATCTTGAGCTTAGCATTCATCTAACACTGACAAACGTTCGAACTTTCTGTGACAATTTGTTAATGGCGACAATTTTCAAGAATTCTAATCGATAAACAACAATGTTCAACATGTCGAAATATTTATGATATAAGGTTGAAATGGTTTTAACGGTAGATTGGCAATATCCGTCTGGGTATACGGTACGTGGTCATCGGGGATAATATTATTCGACGTTTTCTGAAATGTCACCTAATTAATTTACTGTTTCAAATACGCTGAAAATGTCTTGAATGTTGATAAAATATTTTTTTTATAGCTGTTCACAATGTTAATTTTAAATGCATAATGGCAATATTTTGCCTGATAGAATGACAGTCTTTAACAGCTGTTACTTTCTGGCATGATAGAATACGTTGAAGTTTTGTTAAAATATGTAGCTTGATGATTAATGCAATTTCCGACATTGATGTCCGGAATGACTGAAGAAGACATCTGAGTGCAATGCTGTGACAAGGATTCGAATTTACCAGGCATGTCTGTTTCATTGTTGCTTTTCACCTTTGTTGCATTCTAATGTCCACAATGTTCTGGGTAGCCACGTGCGTTGTTAGAGGTGGCCTTTCGGCATCATGTGATACGATTTAATTCGTGATGTAAAAATGTCTCCATAAAATTGTTTTTCTGCTATCATCAACATTATGGGTCAGGTGGAGAAATTCATTGATGACGCCTTCACATTTAGACCCTGTTGATTTCCATTCAAACCTGGGACGGAATTCGTCCTTCTTGTCCAAGGCGTCGTCTAGCCGTCATTTGAGAAACATATGTGCCCAACAATTTCAACTAAACGCGGCATCGGTATAACGCCGACGGTTGCTGGTTCTTGTCATCGACACTGTTACAATTTAATGAACGTTTTGAATGTTCTGTTCATGCCGTGGTAGGATTTACCCTCATAGTCGGCACAGCAGTTACTCGCTGATTGAATGTACTTAATGAGCATGATCTGACAGAAGTAGTGCAGTCCGTGGGTGCTTACGGACAGTTAATGTCAGGAGCTGTACTCCGTGTAGATATGAAATTAATAATGCTCCCAGTTTCCTTCAAAAGGCTGTACATAAATATTGTCGATAAAACTATACGCGAATGCAGGTACTATGGTATCAAGGAACTCTAGCCTCGTTCATAGACAGCTACGTGCAAGTGGATGGTGCATTGCGCAGTGAAATTTTTTCTTTGAGCAGTTCACGTACTCCTTCATACGAACCGTACCTTATACGAGCAAAATGGCAGTTGTGGTCATTCTGCGATCAAGATACATCACTAGCCTTAAACGCGCACAAGCCTACTGATCACTTCGAATCTGCTTGCACATGACCAGATTTCTGCGTGCTGTAACAAAGCCTGGCTGGCTGGTCCTTGGGTCTGTAACGTGCGCAGGTTTCGCCACTGCCAATGAGAGCCACTGCGGTTGTTATTGGATGGCTGTCGAGACATTCACCCTTAACAGCTCCTTCCAAAATGGCAGTTATAAAGACAGTCAGCATTAGTGACATTTTGGGAAGCACTGAATATATACGTCCCCTTCATCGTAGCTGCGCCAGAAAATCCTTCGCGATGCCCTGTTTTACTCTGCTCGTTGCGTGTTCATTTTATACTTATAGATGCAATTGACTTTCAAGGGCAACATATTTGACTGCCGCTTACTACGCCCTGGAACATGTGTTGCATTTAGTATTTTCCTTAACATGAGTCAGTCAGTTCGTTTCGATGACCGCTTATCCTTTCGGATCACAGGCAGACACGTCAGACAATACCTCCAACGTTCCCGATCCCTTACCAGTGTTTGAATTTCGGCAGAAGATAGTCCGAGTTTGGAACAGAGTCCTTCAAGATTCTTGCCCAAAGTTATCCTTGGCCCTTCCCTGGGTCCTCAGCCGGTCGGTTAATCAATTAATAGCAGTTTCGCTGTCCATTCTATAGGCATTCGCAAAACGTTCCCAAGCATTGCATCTGTGACTTCTGGAGTCTGGAGAAGCAATGTCTTTACTCCGACCCACGTCGAGACATGTGAGCCCAGCCATTCATCTCAGAAATCCCATTTCAGCCTGTTTATATTTGGAATCGAAGTTTTTCAGTCGTCGCCCAC